AATCGAAGCTCTGTGTTTGGAGCAGACCAAACCAAAGCCGTCTCCTACGGGGCTTTGCAGTCGGGCTCCCTGGGTCTCTGGAGGTTGTATCCCAGGCCGGAGTTGCTGTTCCTGCTGGATAGTTGCACCCCACGCTAGTTTCTGGTTGCTAGTGCTCTGATATTAAATGATTTTTGTTGTTTGAAGCTCTGTGTGAGAGTCTAAGGTGACAGTAGCTCAGTTACTTTCATTTTTTTGTCCCCCGCTGCTCCGGCCTCTGGGGGCATGTCTGAGTATCGCTTGATGCCCCGTTTTTCCGAGTCGAGTCGGTAAATCCAGCCATCTTGTCCCCGGCCCCAAGCCCCCCCCCCCTCCGTCCCCAGCTGGGCAGACCTCCAAGTTTATCTAGCACTCATAAGGCTTCCGGCCAAAGCCCGGGTGAGCAGCGCACCTCCGCGTCCTAACAGCTGAGCTGCTGTTTCTGATCCTTCCGACTTTTTCTGGCTGCTGTGCGTGAGGCCCCTCCCTCCCAGGGAACGTCACATGTTCGTATTTTACTAGCCAAACGGAACAGCCGCATTAAATTACCCGGCAAAACCGCCATGTTGAAATCCTTTGGCTGTAATTTGTGCACATTTGCTTAATTGGTGACTGGGTAGTGGTTGCTCTGCAGTGTCCCCGGTGGCCGTACTCCGGTGCTGCAGCACTGTGACTTGTCTTGTTCTTTCCCTCCACTGGCCACTTTTCCCCGAATTCCTGATTCCAGATCTCTGCTTAAGCTGGGAAACAGGCCCTATCCCGTTTTCCTATCCCAGGTTTTCCAGATTCCTGGGGTTCAGAGCCCAGCCCTGCCCAGTGTGGGCATTGACCCACCCAACACCAGGCCTAAGGCCTGCCAGGGGCGGGGCGGGGCGGTGCCGTCCGGGTGAGTGAGTCTGCCAGTGCGTAATTGCACCGCGTCGCCCCCTCTTGGGGACGCTTTGACGCGCGGACATGAGAGGCAGTTACCGCCCTGCTTAGTATTCCTGACACACCCACGTCAGGACTGTGCGCCTCACTGGAGCCAAACTTCACTCGACTTTATAGAACCGTAACATGAAATAAAGATGAGCGGAGGGGGGGTGATGGGCGGGGCAACCAAAGGTGGGTTTTTTAGTGGGGAAGTGAATGGTGCATGCAAACAGCTGGGTGGGGGGGGGGCTCTTGTCTTAGCCTCTGTCATGTGATACCAAGAGACAAGGAAATACATGTGGATGGTAAGACCTTTGGAATTGTGGGCACAGTCACATGTGTGTCTGCATGGTGGGAAAAGGATAGATCCTAAAAGGGGGGGTGGTACACTGGATAGATCCTAAAAGGGGGGGTGGTACACTGGATAGATCCTATTAGGGGATGGTACACTGGATAGATCCTATTGGGGGATGGTACACTGGATAGATCCTATTGGGCGATGGTACACTGGATAGATCCTATTGGGGGGGGGTGGTGGTACACTGGATAGATCCTATTGGGGG